TGTTCATTTTACTAATCTAGTCTAGTAATAATTTCATTGAACGCAGGCAACTTTTTCATAAATGTAGTTTTATTTATAATATCTAACCACTGTGTTTTAAATTCCATGAATTTTACCTTCTTTTTGGATAATTATTTTTTGCATTGTCACCTTTAATACACAGAAAGGCTTTGTTAACTTGATCAAAAAAAAATCTGTATCAGAGATAGTCGCGTAACGGCTGTGTTTATGGTCGTAGGGACAACCATAAGGCCATGTGCAACGCAAGAAAAGTGAAAACCGCTAAACTGAGGCTATCTGCTATAAATACTCTGTATATATATTGTTATTAAAAACTTTTAGTATTTAATATTCGTAAATGGGTTTTTCCAATATTAAAATGGCTTAGAATGGGATATTCGGATCTTTGGAGTTGGCAACATTGAATCCGAATCGCCTGCTTTATTCACAGGTTAGGTTAGGTAGGCTGACTGGCCCCAACATCTTGACAACAGACGCTAGATTAGGCAGAAAGCCTGCTCCCAGGAGGCTAATCCGTAGTCTGTTAAGAGCAGGACACTCGCAGAGGATGTGCTCCACTCCCTTCTCTTTCAGTCTGCATCTCATACATATCTAATCCCTCTCTGACAGAGCCAGTTGAAAGGCGTGCGAAACCAGCAGACAATGTCCCGTTAGAATACCTACCAGTAGCTTATCGTCTACTCTCTTCAGGGTTAGGAGATGCTTTGCTCATGGTTCAGTTAATTTGTAACGGGAATGAAACGAATGAGAGTGTGCATATTTATGTTTCAGTATATGTGGTGGTCTCCAAGTGATCAGACGAAAAATGAAGAATAAAATTTTTTTCTTTCAATTAACTTTAATACTTTAATAATTTTTTAAGTCTTTCATCAATGAAATATTTGATTTCTTTTACTAAAATTGTGTTTTGTTAATAAATTCCCATATTCTGAAGCCACCCGATAAACCGATGTTTCGATAATTCGAATCGACTCTGCAATCATTAGTTCGGTTTATCGGGTTTTGACTGTAAATGTTTATGGGAATTTCCTTTGACAGTTGTACAAAAGTCGAATATAATTCTCTGTTCTTTGGTCGTATGTACATGGTCAGTGCATATTTTTTTAGGCAAAAATTAGAGTTTAGAATGTAAAAT